TGTTCTGACACGCGCTGGGCCTGTAAACCATTGTCTTTAAAACAGGATGTGCAACCTTTGCCCAACGGGAAGCCAGGGGGCCTAAAGAGAAGTTCTCAGAGGTTTCCACCACAAACAGTCTTTAGATGGTTTGAGAAGTACAACAAAGTCTTTTATTAATGAACAATCAAACAGAAACTTCTCTTGTCTTCAGTAAAGTGAAGTAAATGATTCCAAGCATTTGGGCAACTGGTGAATTCCTAAATTTGCCCACGAAGGACAGGCAACTATCTTCAATAACTTCTTCTCTAAAGGAAAATCCCCTTTTTAACTTCTCCCAGGCTGACTGAAACTTAAACCTAACTGATGTGGGCACTACTACCGGGTTGAACTGCATTTCAAAGCACCGTGTGGACCTACCAGCAAGGCCTGTAGTCTCTTCAGCTAGAGTTCTTTGATCTTTAGGGCTGTTTCCCTGGAAAGTCTTTGGAGACTCTTTTCCTTCTGTTTTTGTTGGAATTTCTGTAACCCTGGAAATTCTTAAAGGTTGAAGCTTTTGTACAGGGGACGTTTACACACGTCCTGTACATTGGCTAAGCTAGCTGAGACTAACTGAAAAATGGCTCCCTTCCCTATTGCCCTGAGCAAGGGGCGGGACCAAAATTTAATGATGATGGACAGGTGGCTTGCCTTGTAACTGCAACCAAAAGAAGCCACCTATCTGCAGAGTCCCTGAAACCTAGGACTGCAAACAAACATTTAATGTAAAGCAAACAAAATTGGAGCTCCTGGTACAGCTGTACCAGAACAACTAGATATATCTAACATCTGTAACCTATTTGTTTCAGCTTGGCTCACTGACACTGAGCAGCTCCTGTTTTGATAACCATCTATGGTTGCCAGTCAGGAACACATCACAGCCTGAGATTTATGGACAGTGCCAAGTGATGTTACACTGACTGAGGCCTGGTGATGTCATTACACATGATACATCAAGCATCAACTAGTTCCCCAGAGCCTGTCATTCAGATAAAAATATAACCAATGAGTCAAAGATGGAGCAACGAAGATGAGCACAACTGAAGCTACTCCAAAGCAGCTTGCAGCAACATGACCAATGCCACACAGTTCAAACAAATTATTTCATAGTAGTGTTCTTGACATGAGATGTCTTCCCTAACTTTGAAGCCTGGAGAAGAGAGGCAAAGCCCTGAAACCTGGGAACCTTTGAACTGTTCCATTGTTTTCTTTGGCACTTTTTATCAAAAACCTTGTCTGATCCAGCTAATTGGTTGGTGATGGAAGCCCACTTTCGCAAAAATAGAGATTCACTTTTAGACGGTTTTTACAGTGTTATGCTATGCATTCCTATCTACTTCCCATATGCAAAATTTCAAAATAATAAATGCTCCAAAATGCGAAATTGTGGCTGAGGTAGCAACACCTTCCTTCATGATGCTTCAGTACACACAAACTTTCATGCACAAAATTATTACAAATCTATATCTATATAAATGCTCTGTGCATAATGAAAACCTTAAAAACAAAAGAACCAATGAACGAAATCGCACCAAATTTGGCAGCAAAACGTGTCACAACACAAGGAGTGACCATCACTCAAAAAATTATGATTTTGTCATTTGGGAGTTGTAGTTGCTGGGATTTATAGTTCACCTACAATCAAAGAGCATTCTAAATTTCATCAACGATGGAATTGAACCAAACTTGGCACACAGAACACAGCATATTTATTTATTGTGTCAGACGCAAATTGAGAATACAGTTAAAAAGTATAAAAAACCACAAAGTTACAAACTTGCTTTATGCTAGATTTCTTTTGACCAGAAGATGGCGACTTGAAGAGCCTCTGGTGTTGCTGTAAGAAGGTCCTCCATTGTGCATGTGGCATTGTAGTAAGTGGTCTGTGGTTTGCTCTTTGCCACGTTCGCATGTTGTGGATTCAATTTTGTAGCCCCATTTCTTAAGATTGGCTCTGCATCTTGTGGTACTAGAGTTCAGTCTGTTCAGTGCCTTCCAAATCACCCAATCTTCTGTGTGCCCAGGAGGGAGTTTCTCATTGGTATCAGCCAATGATTGAGGTTCTGGGTTTTATTCTGTCACTTCTGGACTCCTTTCATACATCTGATTCTCACACAGCAGAAGCAACTTGTGCTATGCAACCAAACAACCAGCCAACAAACTAACTAACCAACCAACCAACCAACCAACCAACCAACTGGAATCAGCATTAAAGATCATGTTACAGAAAGAGAAGACATTTCTTAAGGAAATGATACCTCTGAAAGATAGAAAAGGCTGTCATAGAATCATAGAATCAAAGAGTTGGAAGAGACCTCATGG